TTTCCTTTTCTTTTGGGTATTTCCCATTCTCTTTCTTTCTCTCTGATTTTCAATTTCCCCGCCCCATCTCCTCTTTTTCCCCATTTACTCCCCCTCGCTTGCTCCTGTCTTCTATGCTCTGTTTCCCCCCTAGCCTGGACAGCTCGCAGCCTCCGTTCCATTATTCAGAGCACAAAAAGAGAAAATGCAATTTCCTGTTCCGTGATTAATCGAAATATTGACTGCGAGATGAACCTGCAAATCACGGAGAACTTTTTTATTTTCTTGTATTCATTTTTCATATTCATCCTCCTTCTATGTTGAACCATTGATTTTAAGCGATGCCAGATGGGTAAACATGAGTGGTGGAAGAACGACAAACTGTAAAAGAAATGAGCATGGAAGAGTTTATGCCACCAGCCCTGGCAAGTAATGCCCTGTACCTACCGGCCACTTTACCAAAGCAAAGCCACTTCCGATACCAATTTCCACCGGTTATTGGCCAATACTGTGAATGATTGGCCCTCCAGAGCCCCACCTGGCTTCAACACTTTGATTTCTTATTGGCTAAATCCGGTCGAGGAATCGCCAATGGGCCAAGTACCTCAGACTGCATTGTGACGATTGCCCTTATACTGCGGGACGTCTGGGCTCTCTGCCGCTCTCTGCCGTTGCTTCTGCTGAGGCGCTGCAGCAGTGAGCGTGGGCTGGCGGTGGCGATGATGGACTTGCGTCGCTCGGCTGCTTCTACGACCGCCGTTGTAAGCTGTTTACGAGTTCCAAAGCTCCCGTTATAGGAGCCCCCTGCGTTCTGCTCTCAGATTCACGGTTTGTCCATCGGTTCTCTCACCTTTGAAGGCCGAGAATATCCCCGAGAAAGTTGAAGGAAAATTCCAGATTGACGCAAGTCGTCCTTTGAGTCCAAGGCTTAAAGGACTTCCAAAGTTATCGTGTCGTTTTTTTCTTTCCTTTTTTCTGTGGGTTTGCTTTGGGTCGACACCGGCTGCTCATGCATCTTAGGGTATTAGTTCTCGTACTCAGAAGTTTAGAATTTATTTCATTAAAGCAGTATTAGTAATATTACTAGTCATCAAAAAAACGTTAACTGACAAGACCGAAGTACAGGAAGGAGTGAAGACCAGAAACTTACAAAAGGAAATTAGAAGGAACTTACAAAAGGGAATGAATAGGGAATTGGGAAATACCAAGGATATCAATAAACATAACTACATATAATAAAAAATGACACGTACTACGTAATTTACTACACACTCCCCTTAGAGCACCGAAATGAAGGAACTTCCCATCCGCCGTGTGACTGCCTCGCCTTCCGCAAACTCCGCCGACCCTCCTTAGCCAAGACGAGGCCCAAGGTCGAAAGCCGAGCCAAAGGAGACGATTTTACCCGCTCCTCGATCAGCCTCGAGTCTTATGTTTACTGACGCTGACTCAGCCTTAATGACCAAATAACCCGCAGAGGAAGTTGACTTTGAAGAGCTTGATTGGTTCGTAATGACTTTGTCTTTATGCGCGAGTGAACCCAAAATAGATTTTTATGTTGGTTGACGTGACAGGTAAGAAGAAGTTGGTTTCTTACCGGAGCCACAGCCTCGAATCCCCAAATTAAGTTTGGACGAACCACGTGCGAGCGAGGGACATTTGCCAGCGCGAAGGAAAGGTTTATTTTTCTTTCTGCCTCCTCCTACCCTCTTTCTTCGTTCACCCTTCCTTCTACGTTTTCCTCCTTCTTTCTCCGTTCTTCCCCTTCCTTCTCCGCTCTACCCCCTCCTCCGTCCTTCCTGCCCGGTATCATCTGTGGTTCGTGCAAGCTCGGTAATTTACGCACACACAGGGCGCACCTTGCGAGGCTTTTCCTTTGCAAGAAGGAAGGCAAACACCTTGCCTCCCCCCCCCCCGTCACTATCCTCCCCTCCCCTCCTCCCGCCAAGGCTTAGCCCCCGCATTGGTCTTCGCTTGTGGCAGAAGGTCTTAACCCGCCTTATCCACCGCTCTCCTTGACCCTCCCGTCCAAAGCTTCCTTTTGCAGCCGCGCAGAGGGAGAGGCGAGGAAAAGTCCGGAAATCCTTTCACCTTCCCTTGAATATTAGCTCGAAATTTTGGCTTCTCCGTGCGAACAAAAAAAAAAGAAAGAGAAAAAAAAGCGCAAGTGTCATATCCCAAAGTGAAAGTCCGGATAAGGATAATGTCGTGAATATTTGTTACCATGTCAGTGTGTTAAAACCTTGGATGCTCGTGAAGAGAAGTCGTATGCGTGCGAACCTCTCATTAAGCTCGTTTCCCAGGCGAAGGAAAACAAGATAGTGTAGGCAACAAAACAAATATTTGCTCCATGCTCACGCTATCATGTTTACTTTTATATTTTATTTGGTTTGTTTTTAATTTTGATAATGATTTCATCTATTTCGTACTTTTATTTATTTTTTTTTGTATTTCATTCTTTTTCTTTTTTTTTCTTTTTTTTTTTGCCTTCATCGTATTTGTATTTAGTTTACTTCATTTTCTTTACGTTTTTTCAAAAAGGTAGACTTTATATATTTGATTTAGTTTATTTTCGATTTTCATCTATTTCTTACTTTATTATTTATTAT